TTTAAGTTCAAGAGGCTGCAAATATTGAGGACATGGTAAAAACCTGAGAGTAATTGCTTGTAATTTTCGGTGTTTTGATGCACACAGTAGAGAGAATATCTTTTCTTCTCCTTTTTTCCTCACCCCATATGGTGACTGGGATCCCAGTCAGAGCTTAGCAGTGTCTGACTGAAGCTCAGTAGAACCTCAGGCAGTGGCACCTGGAGGTGAGCCTGCTTGCTGGGTATTTCACTCACCACATGTATGACCTGCATAATGCAAAGGGGAGCTGGGAGCACCTCTTCTTTGCACAGACACAGTACAGGAAGACAGCTTTGGTTTTAATTTCCATCATTGCTTGCAAATAACAACAGCACGAGATGGTTGTGTAGGTGTTCTTTTTGTAGTCAAAACACAACATGCTCTGCATCATTTGGAATTACATTGTTTCCTCTGTGCAAGAAGGCATTTAAAGGTGTCAGCACAGTGCTGTGGAAAATGTGATGTGTGTATGTCAGGGGCAGTATGAGAAAGAAACAGGCTGCTTAACAGACCATGGAGCTGTTTCATTTCTTTCAGGAGCTGAGTATGTCAGCATCTTTGATAGAGCCCTGTGAATTATGTATTTTAAAACTCAGAGGTTTTTAATAATTGAAAAGAAAGGATTTAATTCAGAACCAAGATTTCACTTGTAATAATAACGTGTGAGCTTAGTTTAGAGAGATCAAACTCAATGCACCCAACTAAAAAAGTTCCAGGTTGGACTTCCAACCTTTCACAAAAGCCATTCCTGTAATGGTATAGTTAGCAAGCAGCAGTGAATGCTGCATCACCCTGAGATGAGCCTCTGTGCTGAAACGTACCAAATATTTTAAATAAAAGACACTCAAAACCTAAAGCTAGGAAAGGATTCCTGCTTCCCTGCTGCTGCAGGCACTTACAAAGTTTTTATCATAGTCTGAAACCAGCTAAGGTGTCACCAAGTTCTCTCTGGGTTCCAGGCTTGCTTTGGTAACTTCAAAATAAAACATCTCAGCCTTTTATGAATGTGGATGAACAGTTAGAGGCCTATGTTAACAGAATACAAAACAAACAAACAAACAACCCACAATACTTGCATGTTTCCCACTTGTATCAACAAGCTACAATAAAGGAATGGAAACTGAAGTATCCATATAGGATACTTCCACAGGGTGAGATACGTGCAAATTGGGGTCAAACATCTATATTCTGTTGCTGAGTGTTACCGTCACCACCTGCAAAGGGGTGGCAGACTGGGTGAACATGAGACTTGCTACATCCTTACTGTCTTCCCCAGTTTATTACTGTGGTAGAGATCACTCCTGAATATATTCTGAACTTCAAATATCCAGTTCCATCTCTTCTATTGCAAATGGGAAAAGCAGGACCAAATAGAAAAACAGGATTATACTACTTGGGCTTAAGTATCACAACCGCTTCCTCAAGCTGCAAATTTGCACAGAACAAACACTTTTTAATAACCAAAGTGATCTGAAAGAATTTTGTAGGACTTTTCCTAAGCTATTTTATTTGGCTTTACCTAATTCCCCATGTTCCATCTAAATGCAGTATTCCAAACTTAGCACAATTAATCTCTAGCTACACAAGTAGTGTTACAGTGGCTCTGGAACTTTTCCTTCAGTGCCTGAATGTCTTGCAGTGTCCCTCCTGATTTAACATGAGTGGATCACTGAAGAGTTGCATTGATACCATCAAAATACATGCACGTACTGTTAGTTATAAAACCTAAAAGAGAACTGACAAAAATATCAGTAATTCACAGTACAAAAGCCAGGTTAGCATGAGGACAGGCACCTTGGTGCCATCTCTGGCCCAATCAATTCCATGTAAAACGAAAGAGTTTCAGCTGGAATAGAGAACTTCCCAGTGAGATCTCCTCGTGGTCTGGTGGGACATCAGAGACAGAAGCAGAGGTCAGATCCTAGTATGAGAAAAGAGGCTTTGGAAGGAGTGATCTGGAGGAGCAGGAGAGGAGTGCTACAACTGCTGGAAATTAGGTGTAATGGCTGTCTTAGGCAGTTGGCTCCATAAGGTTTAGAGCTCTTCAACCTCAGCAGAGTAGACTCATTTCATGGGTGACTCTCAGGACACAGCCCTCATTCTGCTAGGCATCTCCAGCTGTCCTGATTAGTGATGCTTTGGTTAACACAGCATACCCTGTAGATCTAACATTTTAGGAAACTCTTCTAATGCAATGTAAATGAATCCCCAGCTCACAGCTGTGGCTATAGCCAAGCAGCACAGTGCTAAAAAGTTATCTGGCCAATGCAAAAGCTCTTTTACAAAAACGTTTCCCAGAAGATTAGAGCAAAATTTTAAAATAAAAATTACCCTGTACTCATATTTTAAATGCCTTTTGATTCCTGGGTACTGTATTCTTCTATAAGCGTCACTGTACCAGGTAAATAAATCAGTAGATACAGAACTACCATTCGGCTTCAGTTTCTTGGGCCACCAGCTCAAAAAAGATGGGGAGCTTTTGGAATGGGTCCAGAGAAGGCTATAAAGCTGCTCAGAGGGCTGGAGTACTTCTCCTATGAAAATGGGCTGAAGGAATGGGTCTTGTTCAGACTGGAGAAGAGAGGGCTCTGGGGAGACCTCATTGTGTCTTTAAAGAGAGCTTACAAGAAGAGGAGGAATCAACTTTTTACACGGTCTGACAGCGAGAGAACAGAGGGAATGGCTTTAAACTGTGTACAATGAATGACTATACAGATGGTATAGTATATCGAGGAATTTGTCTGATGTAATTATGATACTGGAGTAAGGAAAAGAAAACACTCACCCAATCCTGGGCTTGTATAATAAACTCCAGTGGAGTGGCTCTCCGCAAGAGACCCTTCCCCACTGGCAGTCAGTTCTTAAATGGGTCTAGGAGAAGTGGAGCCAGGCTCCACCCCTTCATGCAGCACAGCTGAATTGCCTTCACCTGTGCTCCCAGGGCTGACTCAGTGCTTGCCTCAGGTGATCAATCAGAGGCTGTGATTCAGCAGCCCCACACACTCCACCCCTTCACAGCATGAACCAAACTACAGGGTGAGCTTTTCCTAATGCAGAAATCCGATATACCACACTTATACAATTTCATCGCAACGCGTGTTGGTAAAATTTAAGATGAGTGATGATTGGTGAACACTGATATTCTTCTATGGGCCAGTGCTCGATGATGTTACTGGAGGCGTGTAGTCATGAGGTGCAGGTCTGTTCTGTGTTCCATCAGTCCCATGTAGACCATTACCAGGTGCTGGACATGATCTGATAGCAACACTGGAACACTTTCGATGACATTTCGTTCCTTCCAGTAATCCTCAAAGACTCACAGGGAGTAATACAGATGTTTCAGAGGCACCAGGAGGGGAAAATCTGCCCTCCAGAGCAAGATAGAGGCTATATTTCTATCCTGAGTCAACACTTCCACTTGTACTGGGGCACGTCCTGGCCGCCTGTACCACACCTTCTGGCCAGATATCTGCGGCTGCATAACGATATCAGGCACCAAAGGAGGTGTCCTGATCTGCCCAGGGACACGGTGGGGTCCCTTTAGCAATGAAAATCGGAATGTTGACCACAGTATCAGTAGGCCATGTACCTATTGCTGGAGGGACTACTGAGCTTCCTGCCTCCAACAATCTCCCCCAAGGTGCAAGTAGGCCACACCACTTGGGTCCTACTTGCACCTTCCAGGGCCATTTTATTATACGGATGCCAGGATCTAAATTGTCAGGGGCAAGGAGCAGAAGATTATTTTCGTTACCAATCTGGGGTCTTACCTGATGATCAGTGCCCATAATTTGGATCCTAAGCAGGGTGGTCCACATTGTCTGCAGCATCCTGAGGGCACTGGGTCTGCCATCTCGGGGTCTTTTATTCAGCTCCCACAGGGTTTCATACAGTCTTTTCATCCACCCCTGCAGGGACTGGGAGTCTGTCTTCAGGGCAGCCTTAAGAATACCGCTATAACATTTGATGAGGCCTGCCCCTGTTGGATAATACAGCAGATGGAATCACCATTCAATTATTTTCCTGTTATTTTCTCCTGCCTGGCTCGCCAATTGTACAATGAATGACTATACAGATGGTATTTGTCTGATGTAATTATGATACTGGAGTAAGGAAAAGAAAACACTCACCCAATCCTGGGCTTGCATAATAAACTCCAGTGGAGTGGCTCTCCAGAAGAGACCCATCCCCACTGGCAGTCAGTTCTTAAATGGGTCTAGGAGAAGTGGAGCCAGGCTCCACTCCTTCATGCAGCACAGCTGAATTGCCTTCACCTGTGCTCCCAGGGCTGACTCAGTGCTCGCCTCAGGTGATCAATCAGAGGTTCAGGCTGTGATTCAGCAGCCCCATACAAACTAATAGAGGGAAGATTTAGGTTAGATGTTAGGAATTCTTTACTGAAAGGGCAGTGTGACCCTGGTCAGGGTGAGAAGTGACAGAGATCACAGAACGGTTTGTGTTGGAAGGGACCTTTAAGATCATCTAGTTCCAACCCCCTGCTATAGGCAGGGACACCTCCATCCAGACCAGGTTGCTCCCAGCCCCACCCAGCCTGGCCTTGAATTATGCCAGGGAGGGGCATCCACAGCCTCTGGGCAACCTGTGCCGGTGTCTCACCATCCTCACAGTAAAGAATTTCTTCCTAACATCTAGTCTAAATCTAACCTCTTCCAGTTTAAAGCCAGTTCCCTTCATCCTGTCACTATGTGCCCTTATAAAAGTCCATCCCCAGCTTTCCTGGGGGTCCCTTCAGATACTGAAAGGCTGCTATCAAGTCCCCTGAAGCTTTTTCCATAGACATGCCTGTCAGCATGAAAACTCGAGCACCGAGCAGCAAACACCGTTCCTACATTGTTCACACCGAGGCGAGTCGATAGGATCACCTAGTACAGATGGTATTGCTCGTTGTACGGAGGCCGGATCCCCACACAGCAGCTGATGGCAGCAAGTCAGCCAGCATCCATGTAACTGCTGCCGTCCTCGCGTTCCACAGGTGTTCCACCGCTGCCCTGGGCACGCCGCAGAGCGACGGCCGCCCCCTGCAGGCATTTGCTAACTGCTGCCGCGTGCCCGCAGCGACCCGTCCCGCCCCGCGCACGCCTTCCATCCGCAGCCAGCGTAACCCCGCGTAGCCCTCCGCCGTGTGTGGGGGAGGAGAGAAGGAGAGCCGCTGCCACGCGTTCCCGGGAGGCTCGGCCGCTTTCCGGCCCGCCGTCTCCGCAGGGGGTCTCGTAGCCGGCCGTGCCGCCCCGGGGCCGGGGAAGGTAAGTGCGGGCGGCGTGAGGCACGGGGCGCGGGGCGGGCCGAGCAGCGGGAGGGACGGGGCAAAGCGAGGGCCGGGCGTCCCGTGGCCGCACACCCAAGAATTACCCGTGCGTCCCGTGCTGCGGTCAGCGAGCTGAGCGCTTACCCGTACGTTCTCTTCTCCGGGCGTGATGGTGGGCTTCGTTCTGCAGCGGTGCGGGGAGGAGTGCCGGCGCTGGGTGCACCTGTGGTCCTTCACCTTCCGCTTCCCCGGCAGCCGGGCAGGTCGGAGCAGATGCGGATGCCACGCGCCTGACCCGCTGATGGCCTTTCGGAGGTCCTTTGCAGCCTATGGTTGTCCAGGCGCCGAGCTGCTCCTTCCCACCTCAGCCTTTCTGCTCTGAGCCGTTAGTTGGTATCCACCCTGTGGGAGATTTTATCACCTGGGTTGCACTTCACCTGTTTTGAAAGCAGTATGTTATCCAGCAGCTCCCCTCTCCCCCTGCCCCTGAGGCTGACAAAGCTACCAGGGGAGCTTCAGGTTGCATATGAAGAAATACTTCTCAGAAAGAGTGGTGGGGCACTGGCATAGTCAAGGTGTAAAATTCCTAAGAGGTATGTAGGCATCCAAGGCAGGAGTTGACGAGGCCCTGCTCCACCTGCCTGGTTATCAGAGTTCTCTGTCCCTTTTTTGTCATGCTCAACTGTCTGAGCATGCAACATTTTGTTTTGTGTACTCCTGGCAATGCCTTGGGTCTGCTAAGGCCGAGCAGTCTGCATCTAAATCTGGCTGTATCACATGACTGGTTTGATGTAAGCATACTTCTAGTTCAGAATATGTCTAAATGCAGCTGTAGGTGCTGCTTTGTTTCATGCTGTGATCTGTTGTTACAGTACACCTTTAATTCTGTGACTTACTGCAAGGAGCATCCACCATCTCCCAGGTCATGGGAGAGTTCATCGAGCTGGGCTTTACGCCAGAGGGCAAATGAGACATTGTCTTCCCCCTAATTGGTAACAAGCTTTCAGTTTCTTCCTGAAGCACTGTTATTGTGCAACAACTTCTAGAAACAAAATGAGTCCTAAGTAATCAGTGCTTCAGCAGTTAGTGGGTATTTGTTGACACAGGAGGGTTTGGCACTGCATTGTACAGGAGCTCACCAGTCACTTCTTGCAGTGACTTTCAGGCAGGCCGGCTGCTTTTCTACCTTCTTCACTTGTTACATCTCCTGTGCACAATGGCTTTTACAGCACAGGCTTACAGGCTTCTTTCACCTATACTTACAAATGTACTTGTCACATGCACCTCCAGTAGCAAGTTAGAACTAACTTAAATTTACTCTAATCCTACTGCAAAGAAATTCACAAATTACCATTTAAATGTCTGAAGAAAAGAGCAGAGCAGGTTTCTAACTTCAATTAAGTTGTCTGTCTCCCTCCTACATTTGCAGCTTATTATGTTTCAATAGTTTTTAAAAACTATTTGTGCAGAAAACATACTTGCAAAAGAAATATTTCTTTGTTGTCTGTTATCGGCACCTGTCCTTATGATCTTTTAATAATTTCTTACTAAATACTCTGCTCAGACTGGGTGCAGGAGTAATGCAGTGACCACCATGTCACTTCAATTCCAGCCAGCCATTCAGTAATATTTGCTGACTTCAGCTACCAACCCTTACTGCTGCTTTCTGCCTGACCACCAGTTAATGGCATCACAGTGCTGCTTAGCTTTATTAAAAGATAGGCTTTGTAGGCAAGGCTGTACCAAATTCTGCCTCTGGCCGTAGGAGTTGTGCTCTGGATGCCTTTCTCCACTCCCTCCTCAGGATTTTATGTTAAATCTCTGAGCATTGGCCTCTCCTAAGCTAAAAGTGCGACCTCCAACCTAGCTGTCATTCTTAATATTTACTTCTTATGGTCTTCTTTGATCTTGTGATCTGAGAGTGTTAAACCTGGCTGTTTCTAATTACTGCAGAAGCACAAAAAAAGGGTCTTTTTGTCCCTGGGCTAAACTCACTTTGTGAAAAACACAGTCCAAAACAATAGCTACTTGTCTTTCCCAGAGCATCTTCTAATCTAGACCAGGTAGGTATTGCATATTAATTTTCAAAGAAAAAGAAACCAACACAGATTCAGCAAGAACACCTGTGTGTGGATGGTTTATGCAGCTTTGAGTAGGTGCTCTCACTGGGAAACAATCATAGCAGTGAGTTGGAAAAAATCTTTGCTGTCCTCAGTGAAGCCTTGAGAAGTTCCTTTCCTCATGGCTTGGAAGAGTACTAGAAACCCTTCTCAAGCCTAGTTGAGTCTCTCTCAGCCTTCATCATCCCCTAATCAGAGAGAGCAGGGCTGCCTGGGGCTGGCAGACAAACCAAGTGGGGTCACTAGCCCAGCAGAAAAGCAAGCTGGTGCTGTTCAGGAGGGAGATGCTCAAAGCAGTGTCAGGGGCTGGACTCAGGGACTACAGCACTTTCTCTGTGCCTGGATCTGTTTTGGGTGTCTCCCTCCTAAGCAACACCAGCCTGCTTTTTGTCTATACGCTCACATTTGTTTCCCTGTCCTTCTGGAGACCACATTGTTTTACAAGAGCTGTAATAACAGAAGAGTAGAGGAATCATGGTCTTTGAAGTGTGCATGTCTGCATCTCACCGTATGATCTTAAGGCATATAAAAATGAATCTAAGTGATGAACAGGAACTAGATAATTACATCCAATATATAGCTTCTCATTACCCAAATCAGTGGCTGTTTTTTATGACACCTGTGCTCTGTCAGGTCACATAATGCCTTATTGCTTTAAGTCTCCCATCTGTGAAAGGAACTGCCTCACCACTCACCTGCCTTATAGCACACTTTCTGATTCCAAGATGGAAAATGCTGTATTTGGATTATGCATCCCAGCAGCTTAAGGGAGAGGCTGAGGAGGTTGGAAGGGCACATTCATTAATCATTTGATTTTTATTTTTTTTTCTTTTTAAATTTAGATTGTAATTGGCTAGAGGGGCCCCACATGAACAGTTTGTTTACACTGCACAACTTTTTACAAGCCCAAATGCATATATTCTGATGGCTTAGAGCCAGGCAAAAAGCGTGGAGCCTTATTTTTGTTTCAGTAAGTAGATTTGATCTAATAGGACAACAGCAATGATACCTATTCTCACAATAGCATATTCTCACTGCCCTTTATGTGGCTGGCCTTACTGTGTGTGATGTATCTTTTAAGATCTCTGTTGTGGCCTAGATAAATGTTATAAACAAACTCCTTGTCAGCTGGCTTATTGTTAGATTAAAAGAAAGAGGGTGCTTTTTGAAGGTCTTTGCTTTTTTTTTTCCTAAGAAATTTTACCAAATATCAAATACTGCCTTTCAGCCAGTGTGTATAACCAGTCCCTTAGATAGATGTCCATAAGTGATACCACGAGTGAAAAAAAACCTATAACATTTTAGATAAGGGTACTTTCCTTGATCTGCACTTCCTCCAAGAAGTAAAAATGACTCGCTGTTCTTTAAGAATCAGGATGTGGCTGTGGATATACAGACATAACAGGAAAGGAAGGCTCCTTCATTTGAGAGGCAGTCAGGGACCCAAGAATTGATGAATGAGAAAAACACATTAATCTAATCAGGTGAATTTTGATAGAATTTGGACAGCCAAGTCCTCGAAATCTGATCCATATGCCCTTCCTTCAGCCATCGGCCTGCACAGCCCCACCTTGTTCTTCTGCTGCTCCCAGTATGTGCATACCATTGCACAGAACAGCCCAGGGTGAGGAGCCCTGCACATCAGTTGCATCCTCTGGGGAACCTGCATGGAACATCTCTGACAGAGCTGCAGCTCTAAATCAAGAGCAGAGCACACCGTTCATGGACATTTTATTTCAAACTGAGCATGGAAAGGGGAGACCTCTGATACCATGACCCAGTTAGACCATTAAGGAAGCAGAGTATCTTAACCTTCCTCAGTTTGAGAAGCTTCAGGCTATATCTAAAGACACTGCTTTAACCACAAGGCTATAAGCAAGTATGTATGTCAGGTAACAATGCTGTATTTCTCCTACTGAGGCTTGGCTATTGAGCAAACAACTATCCAAGAGCTGTAAGAGCTCTTCTGGAAGATTATAAACTCCTGGAATTACAATAATGGTTGCTTAATTTTGGTTTGTTGAATTAAAAAAGCTAGTTTTAGCTTCAACTTCAGAGCTGAGTATTGAGTACAGAATTAGCACCTGCTGTTCCTGTCTTCTTCATTTTGTCCATACGTGCTTCCTTGGCATAACGTTGCATTCAATCAGTATTTCCTTTGTTCTGCAAAACTGGAAAGCTGCGGGAAACTCTTTCCCAGTTCTTTCAGTGTCTCCTTCCACTTAGATGTATCATTTTTCAAGGTTTGGAGGCTGATGTCCTGCAACTTTTGTCAGCAATGTTGGATGCCATGGAGAGAGAAGCAGTGTGTGTCGGAAAAAAAAACCCTACTAAGACTGTAAATAATTCAAGTGGAATTTAGAAGCTCCATCTGGACACGACCCTCAGTTCATTGTACCACAGATCTGGTGAAGACAGAAGAGGGACAGAAGTTAGAAAGAATGCACTATATCTAAAAATCAGAAACATTACATTTGAAATGATATGATTATCTACACAGAAACATCTCTTGATGATTGGATTTGAAATTAGAGAATTAAATCAAATCTTAGATTTTGACAGAAAGCAGAGGTACGGCTCCACTCTGTCTAGAAACTTATTCATAAAATCTGTTGCAAACTCTGCAGTTGTGGTTAAAGAAATATAAAACAATCTCTATTCAGTTGGCCTGGCTCTGGATATGTACATACAGAACTTGGATTAAGTGTATTTTGTAGACATTCACAAGCAAAACTGTAGAGTGATGGTGAAATCAGTGCACAGATTAATTTTATGTTAAATCACTGATTTTTTTGATACAAAGACATCTCATCATGGATGAAAAATCAAAATGGACAATTAAATGGTCTTCGTCTCTGCTGGGTATGGAAGGGAAAGAAGAGTACTGGCCTCTACATATTAATTTTACAGGCAAGAAATACATGCTGACGTTGTTTGAACCTATATTTTTCTTCTCTTTCCCTTGGGAGCTTTTGTGGTGCCTGTGACAGCTAGCAGCATTTCATAAAAAAACATCAGGATAACAGCAAGTGAGATCTTACATCCTGCTTTCAAGATTGCAAGACCTTTAGATATGAAGTTCAAGGAAAAGAACGCCTTCCCAGCTGGCAGTAGGATTCAGGTTCATTCCCTCTACAGACTTGCAGCAATTATAGGTGAGATTCTCAGGCACTTATCAGAAGCAGTTGGTACCATTGCACACCACTCATCTGTGTTTCAGTGACCTACAGTAAATGGCCTGGATGGTTTTGGTGAAAGCTAACATGAGCCATCACCTAGGAAAATTCTTCACGGGAAGCTACTATGGCCACTACAGTAAGTTACTGATAAAAATCTTTAACAATCTAACAATAAATATAATAATTGTATCAGAGTGATCTTCTCTAGAGCTTGTCCAGATAGCCAGCACCTCTGCTGCTTCATTCTTCTTCGTGACTCTCCAGGGGACAGTTAACTCCTTTCTGGCTCATATATATTACAAAGGTCACAGTCTCAGTCCCCCTACCTCTTCTGTAGTAATGAAGAAGACTTACAATATTATATAGTTCGCTACTTAGAATGCAGCCTTTCAACAGTGCCTGCTAGGTAAAAAAAATAAAAATAAAAATAAAAAAAATAGGGGAGTAGAAAAGACAATTATTTTCTATTACTAGGGATAATTCCTCACAGATGCAGTTAAAGTCTCTTAACAGAGTTTTGGTACTCTGTTAAGAGTTAGGTTCTGTGGGACTGTGTCAAAGTTTATGAGACTTGATTGTACTGTACTAATCTATTAGTACAGTACAGTAAATTCCTATTTAGCAGTCTGTTAAAATGGCTTGGACTTCTGTTTGGTGTTTGAAATGTGAGTATCAGATTGTTTTCTATTGATATACTTCTTCATTTCCTCAGTCTGTGCCCCTTACACAATAGCAATAAGCATAAAAGATTTTAGTTCAAGACCTAAATTCTGCATAGAATTCTGTTCTTGCACGTTAAAGGAGCAGTGTGTCTAAATCTTAACAATTAATGGGATTTACCTCCTTTAAATTACCAGCTTAAAGCCCAACTCTTTTTCCTTTCTGAAACAGGCACACCTTGTAGCTGTTTGGTGGCCATCAGAGGGTTTGGTTCCACCAGGATTTACACTTTGTGGTTTTTAAGCAGACTGTGCTGGAGGTCACCAAAAACCTTACACTGAGTTGTCAGTCAGTAAATCATTTCAATGAATGTTGTTTAAAAAAGAGAGACAGATGGCTGCAATCTTAATTAACTGTGGTGGTGGTGTTTTTTCTACCTACAGTACAGAAACAACTACTTTGGTGCTAATAATTCACTCTACATCATGCTCAGTAAAAAAGACTTGCCTTGTTTTGGAGAGGTTTTTGCCTGAGAGAGAGAGAGAGAGAGAGAGAGATGACATAATGCATGGAAAATCCAGAGTAGGAATAAATTAATAAATGGATTAATCAATGAGATACATAAATTATGCTATGTACCTCATTGTATAGCTTAACAATTTACGGTTCAGCAAATGTAGTTTTTTATATCTTGCAGTAGTTACATCTTAAGTTACATCTTAACCTATAGCAGTAGGGTTACTTTTCACATCTTGGGAACTCATGTCTCTTTGAGACCCATATTTTGAGCAGTCAGACAATCAGATGATACCTCGTAGAGTTCAAAGAAAGCAATCTGGGATTTATCCTAATGTCATTTTTAGCATGCCAGTAGTCGTTCATACTACTACTGTTAAAAAGCTGTTATACAACTTACTGCTCAGACAGTCAATAGCAGAATTAATCTTAATATTTTAATTTTTTTCATGCAGATTCACAATGTTACATCAACAGCTAATAACTGTCTTTGGTATATTACTAGCTGGAGATCTATGTGCATCTAAAAGCTGCTATTCAGAAGACCGAGTGTCCATGTATAATTCCTGCAACCTCACAAGTGTTCCACCTGTGCCAAAGGACACCACAAAGCTTTTTCTAACTTACAACTATATCAGACAAGTGACTGCAACTTCATTTCCACTGCTGGAGGATTTGTTTTTGTTGGAAATTGGAACACAACATGTCTTTCCCCTTTACATAGGAAAAGAAGCTTTCAGGAACCTGCCAAACCTTCGTGTCTTGGACCTGGGGTTCAATAACATTCTTCTGCTGGATCTCGATTCTTTTGCGGGTTTGCAACGTTTGACCATACTCCGTCTGTTTCAGAACAACCTTGGAGATTCCATCCTGGAGCAGCGTTACTTTCAAGATCTGAGCTCATTAGAAGAATTGGATCTTTCAGGAAACCAAATCACAAAACTTCATCCACACCCCTTATTTTATAATCTAACCATCTTGAAAGCTGTGGACCTCAAATTCAACAAGATATCCAACCTGTGTGAAAGTAATCTTACCAGCTTCCAAGGAAAACACTTTTCATTTTTCAGCCTCAGTTCTAACACTTTGTATAAGACAGATAAAATGGTCTGGGCCAAATGCCCAAATCCTTTCAGAAATATTACATTTAACTCACTGGACATTAGTGAGAATGGCTGGAGCACAGAGACAGTCCAGTATTTCTGCACAGCTATTAAGGGGACTCAAATCAATTATTTATCATTTCGCTTTCATACAATGGGCTCAGGATTTGGCTTTAATAACTTAAAAAATCCAGATAAGGATACATTTACAGGACTAGCAAGAAGCGATCTTCGTTTGCTTGATATTTCCAATGGATTCATTTTCTCTCTCAATTCTTTAATCTTTCAAAGCCTTGGTAATCTGGAATTTCTAAACCTTTTCAGAAACAAGGTAAATCAAATTCAAAAGCAAGCATTTTTTGGCTTGGAAAACCTAAAAATTCTCAATCTCTCAAGTAACCTTTTAGGTGAGTTGTACGATTATACTTTTGAGGGGCTACACAGTATAATGTATATTGATTTACAGCAAAATCATATTGGGATGATTGGTCAAAAATCTTTCAGTAACTTGGTAAGTCTGAAAATAATTGATCTCCGAGATAATGCCTTAAAAAAACTCCCTTCCTTTCCACATCTGACTACTGCCTTTTTAGGTGACAATAAGCTGATGTCTGTAGCTCACACAGCAATAGCAGCAACACATATTGAATTAGAGAGAAATTGGCTCGCAAATCTGGGTGACCTGTATGTTCTTTTCCAAGTTCCAGATATGCAGTATCTCTCCTTAAAACAGAATCGCATCTCTTACTGTGAAAAACATGTTAGTGTTATAGAAAATAACCAGTTGATTTATATGGATCTAGGAGAAAACATGTTACAGCTTGTGTGGGAGAGAGGTTTATGTTTGGATGTGTTCAGGACGCTGTCTAAACTTCAGATTCTATTCCTGAACAACAACTACCTTAGTGCTCTTCCAGAGGAGATTTTTAGTGGTCTAACATCTCTAAAAATACTTAATCTAGCCTCTAACCTATTGTCTCACCTCTCTCTTGGGGTTTTTCCACAAAGCCTCATAAACCTAAACTTGTCTGGAAACCAGCTTTTTTCCCCTAAGCCTGAAGTCTTTATGACTTTGAGTATTCTAGATATAACACATAACAAGTATGTCTGTGACTGTGCTTTAAAAAGCCTACTAGTGTGGCTAAATGAAACCAATGTAACCCTAGCTGGCTCAGAGTCTGACAGGTACTGTGTATACCCACCTGCATTAGCAGGGGTACCACTGTCACTTCTGACATATGATGATTGTGATGAAGATGAACTCCAGCAGACACTCAGGTTCTCAGTATTCATTTTCATTTCGGTCACCCTTCTGATGTTTCTGATGTCAGCCATTGTTTTTACTCGCTGCCGGGGGATTTGTTTTGTCTGGTATAAGACCATCACCAAAACTTTGATAGGAAGCCATCCACCAGCAGCAGATACAAGTGAATACATGTATGATGCGTATTTGTGCTACAGCAAAAATGATTTCGAATGGATCCAGAATTCTTTGCTGAAGCACTTGGATTCACAGTATTTTGATAAGAACAGATTTACTTTGTGCTTTGAGGAACGAGATTTCTTGCCTGGGGAAGAACATATCAACAATATTCGTGATGCTATTTGGAAGAGCAGGAAAACAATTTGTGTTGTTACCAGGCATTTTCTCAAAGATGGGTGGTGTGTAGAAGCCTTTAATTTTGCCCAGAGCAGATACTTCAGTGATTTGAAAGAGGCTCTCATTATGGTAGTAGTTGGGTCACTTTCTCAATATCAACTGATGAAACATAAGCCAATTCGAATTTTTTTACAAAGAAGTCGATATCTGCGTTGGCCTGAAGATTATCAAGACATAGACTGGTTTTTAGATAACCTTTCTGCCCAAATTCTGAAGGAAAAAAAAGTGCAAAGGAACGTCGGTGGTATAGAGCTGCAAACTGTAGCGACAGTCTCACGCTGACAGTTGATGGGTCTCTAGCTTTCTCAATACTTTCTATTTTAGCTGTGCTATGGGAGGACAAAACAGATCTGCTTTATCCTTTCCTGAAAAAGCAGGTAGAGAGATTCATTTTAAATCCTACTAAACTTGGAAACAACTTGAGAGCTAAGAAAGTGCAATTATTTTATGGACAGTGGCACTTATTTTCAGAAGAATTAAATGAATCGCAAATGCCTCACATTTTGGATGCTCAGCTTCAAACAACTTACTATTGATTTTCAGAGTGTTACATACTTCCAGGTCTCTGTTTCAGTGACAGGAAGATGCCCATTTTTATTTTTCTGTTTTTTGTTCTTTTCCAAAAGAGACCACTGTACCGTCTGGGAATGCCTTATAACTTTATGTTTTAAAATGGTGCTAGATTTTGTTTGTTTTCTACTCAGCTAGGCTCAGATTCTCAACTGCAACACACAGCCTTTGAACTTCATTCATTTCTTTCCCCTTTTCAATTCTTCTGCTTGGTGGTGAAGCCACAGTTACTGGGATGCTTCATTTGCTGCTGTTCCAATTGGTCATTTTCTCAGCTGCCTCCCACTGTGCAGAGAGAAGCAGGTATCCCCTTCAGATCTGAAGCAAGCCTGAAAACCAAACAGGAAACTACCTCCATAGCCATAAGTGGCTCCTGGGAAGCTTCCACATTCTATGGATGGAATATATGGATAACTTGTTTGTCTTGTGGGTTGTTCTTGGTATGTCCTGTATCTTGATCAATTAAGATCTTTTTTTTCTGATTCTATTGAAATAGTTTTCTAGAGTCATAAATATCTGGTATGCTCTTTATTCCCCTTACCTTTCTTTTCTTAGGTATGCATCTGCAGGGGGACATTCAGGGTCATTTTAATAAAAAGTCTGATCTATCATTGCTGTGCTTTAACAACTGCAGCTCAGCACTGTGCAGCTGCTTGCTCAGCCTCACCGAAATAATTCCAGTACTGGCTAGGTAAGTTCTTCTCTGTAGTGAAGATGCAGGAATGGATGGGTTTACAAACTGGTCATGTCTTGACCTGAGCTGCAAACAAAAACTACCATCTTAACTATTTTCATAGAAATAAGAAGGTACAATCCACTTCATGTGAATGCAGCTGTTTGAGTATAGAAGCACTTGTGACTGATCTAATTTACTTTCAATATTCTATTAATACAACTACTACAGTGAAATATTATTTCTGTCTCAATCAGTGTAGGCATCCATGAACAGAAAAGGGCTAAACCTTGTAAAGTTTGCTTGGGGCAGAGGGATTGAAAAAGGGACCAGGCTGTGCTCAGGAAGCCCTGGGTGTCGCTGTTGGCTCAAGTAACAGCGAGGGTTTCTCTACACTCCTGCCTCTGTCCATTGCAGCCACTGACATTACAGACAAAAGCTGCTGCAGAAGGTCAGAGAAAGAAGCAGCAGTCCCAGCTTTCCAGAGACCCTGCAGGCTGTTAGGAAAGCCATCACTGTGCCTTTCTTTCAGCTCTCTAAACATGTCAAGCTATTATATTTTTTTACTCTAGCCACTGCAAATACTTAAAGGCATTCTTTGAAGTCAGAGGTTATGTCAGAGAGTACTTAACATTATTAAGCATCACTGACAGGCAGCCAAAGGAGGAATGAATCTGTACAATCAAGATCATGTGCAAGTCTAGACTGTTAGCTGAGGCATCTGCACATGGTGTAAGACATGGCAATTCTAAAAGCATACTTAAATTACATCTGTATGACTTTCACAGAACATTTTTTGTTGTAGTAATAGAATGCCCTCTCCAGTTTGGGCCTTTCTCTGTACTTATAAGACACTCTTATCGTTTCAGATACTTAAAATTTAATTCAGATAACATATGGAGGAACTACTGAATATAAGTAGATATAGTTTGCCAAGATGGTTTAGCCAAAGCCTTGCCATTCTGTTTTAAATCCTTCTCTCTACTGTTTTTGCCATGGGTGGGAGGCAGCTAGATCTAACTTGCATGTACTTCAGACTTTGAACAGATCTGACTTTTTACATAAAAGTAATGAAGACTTTGGATGAAATTTCACCATGTGCCTCCATCTTTGTATACAATTTTGGAAGTGTAAAGTGATCAAAACTGTAAGGACCAGCTGAGAAAACATCCTTATACCACAGAGGTGTCATAAAAATAGAGGAAGCCCAGCCTCAGTCTGCTCTGCAAATTCTGCTCCAAGAGGCTGGCACTTACAGCAGAAGGATTTTTGCAGAAAATGCTATTGAACCCTTCCTGATTGCAGACTGGTTTGCAGGCATATGAATAAATCCAGGGTGAAACTTTAATGAAATCTGAAATAACTTTCTTTTTTATCCTTTGTGAAACTACTCCAAGCCTGAGACTCTGAGAACAAATGCAGTCTTCCCAGTTGGCACAGTCTGTCCTATAGACTAAAAAATTGACTTCAAATAGATCATAGGACTCTGATCACCGCCACCATGGAGTCACCTCTTTTAAATGACAAACCAGAGGAACTGTTGAGAAAGGGCTTATGCAGACTTTATACTGCTCTGCTCAGCAGAAATGGCAAAAGCATCCTGTACAAAAAAGGAGAACATCTATGCTTGATGAATTATGGCCATAAATTGAGCTCCAACCTCATAACTATTGATCAGATTCCCTTTAGGCTTGCTGGGAACATTACTGCTCTATTAGAATTTTATGGCTTTTCAGTTAAGGATACTCTCATCAGTTTTACTCACCTTCCTCAGCAGAAGACATTAACTTGCTGGAGAGTGTCCAGAATAGGGTGTGAAATGTGACACTGGCTCTAAAACAAGCTATTAGGATGGAATCTGGTGAATGCATTTGCAGTAGCACCACGGCAAATATTCAGAGGACAGTGACTCTGTGCCACATGGTATCAGCTGAGATACTTGATGGTACGACTTTGCTTCCACCTACACCAACGTGTATTATAAGCATCAACCAGTCAAGCAGCCAGTGCAGTTCAAGAGCTACAGTTAGCAAACCTGTCAGGGTCCAAAGTCTACATGGACTCCTACTAAAAGTCAGGGCACTCAGGGCCAGAACCCAGGTTCCACAAACATATTTCTGTGTTGGATAATAAAACTCACCTATAACATGACCACATATAATTTCACATTTTACATGATTATTATTTCACACACATTGAGACCAGGGTTCTGCTCCCCTTCCCATCCACACACAGTGGACTCATCAAAGTGTCATCCACTCACATTTGCTAACCCCAGTTGCTAATGCCTCCTCAGGGAGATGGTTCAGCATGCTGCTAGAGCTATTGCCTTCTTAATTTACACTTACTATCTGTCATTGCTCCCATTCCAGCAGTTATACTATCTCTGTGGTAGCACAGAGAAGACTACAGAGTTCACTCTCTCGAGTGGGACACTTATGCATGTGTTACTCAGAATCATGTTGCCTTTCTTTTTCGTGTGCTACATCATTATCTCAGCTCATTTGCTGACTTCTGGGTCTTTCTCAGCATGACAGCTCTCCTACTTCTTACTGCCAGAGACCATCTGGGCTTCAGATTATTGTATGCCACCTTCTCAATTTCATATGATACTGAATATTTTACAATGGCTTTTAATGTGTTCTCTTCTTGCTAGAACTGTGAATTTCAGCAGTCCAGTTAAATCACAAAGCAAGACCCATACCTAGCAAAGTACTTACAGATGAAGAGCAATATACAACTGAGTGGCAGGAGTGAGTGGTGAAAACACTGCAAATGGAGCAGGAGCAGCACATATGGATCTCTGGGAGATCACCAAAATTAGGAAGGGTATATAAAGCAGCCTAAGCATCTTCTCTTCAAAAGGGCACTTCATGCCATTCCATTTCATTCCAAGTGGAAACTAGAAGCAAGCAAAGGCAAGAGAAGGAAAAAGATTTAATGTCTGAGTCTGCAAACGGGATCATACAGAATTCTCTCATAAATCAAGTAGATTAAGGAGGACTAGTTCTAGCAAATAGTTGCAAAGTTTCATTGCTCTATACCAAATGCAAGCTTACAGTTGTGTGAAATAAGGCATTCAAAATCAGAAGACTGGTACATTAAAAAACAAACAAACACCAAAAAAAAAACCAACCCCGACAGATTACAAAACAACGATAAGTGTTTGTTATTTGACTCCGTAAGACCACATCTTTACGCTTTCTCTGTGATCATGAGGTGGAAATTAATGCAGTCACAGATATAAGAGCCAATGTTTTAAGAAATAGTCTAAGTATTTAAATACTTTCACTTAAATAGGAAGTGTGAATAAATTAGTCAGGCTTTGAGTAAGGAAGGAACAACTTTAGGAAGATGGTGAAGACAACACAGGCTGTCTTTCCAAACCTCCCTAGATGGTTGCCTTCAGCACATACGTAATTCAACCATTGAAAATTTTGTAGTTGTCGTTGATAGATAGGCTCAGCAAAAACAAGGCCTTAACTGAAATGAAATAACCTGAAGGAGAAATGACAACATTGCAGACTTCCCACACAGACAAATTCACATCAGTAGTCTTTACAAAAGCTCTGCTGGTGACATTTCCACTAGGCTGCATGTCAGCCTTCAGGAAGCTACAAACGCCTTTGCAATGACAAAGATTTTGTTCTGCTTTGGGATACAAGCACTTTTTGCATATGCACATGTTACATGTTTTCTATTTCATCCCTTGTAAAGATGAGCTGAGCATCTTGGTCTTCAATGTCACTGTGCTGCTCCTGGCAGCCATCAAGATTCCATACAGTGGAACAGAACTGCAGATGCTGCTGCACTGGTATTTCCTTCAACAAAACTTACAAGAGCACATTTTGGGAGCTGAGGTTTACCAGAAGGCCACTGTGAGCACAGACACCAACCACAGAGAACACTCCATGCCAAGCACATAGTAGAAATGTTAAATTCAGACTTTTTATTCAATCTGCTATCATATCTAGGCACTAATGTTGGGCCAACCAAACTCCTCAGTGATTCTCTCTTGCACAAGGATTGAAGGAGGGTTCTCTTCCCTTTCTAACCTTCCTCACCTTTTGCTTTCTGTGCTGTGTGCATACAGTGTAGCCATTGCCAAAAATAAGTCTACATTTCCTTTCCCAATATGCAAAATTTGGTATATAGATGTGACATGAATTATTTTGTAGAGCAAAGATTATCTATTCATAGCAGACTCTGTTTGCTTCAGATGTGCGGTTTTCCTTCCTTTCAGATAGCCTATTGTTTGTCTTTTCCATTTGTATTAAAAATAAAATCTTTGAAAACTGCAAGTAGGAGAGAAAAATATATTCCTTCTGAAACTAACAATTCTCCAAACAGGAAGGTTAGCTTTTTCCTGTTTAGACATGATGTTCAAAGAAAGGAAGTCAGTATTTTCAATGATAATAATTACATCGTATGTATATATCAGTAATCATCAAAAAAGTCTTCATTCTATTTAGCATGCCTCTAATGCTACACTGCTGTTTAGAGTATCTTAATCTTTGCCAGTTCACCAGCCTCCTGCAAAAAGAGATTTATGAGCAGTCACTGCGCTTGGTTGATCAGCTGTACACCTGCTATTTGCAAGCTTCCAGAGTATAACAGTGTTATCAGACTGCTTCAAGCCTGCATGGAGAGCAGTGGAGCAAATAGAATCCTCATACAAAACAACAAACTACACTGTTTGTACACTACAATTGCTCATGCTGGAAGCAATTCTCAGCATCAGCTTCTTTAATTCCAATCTTAGAGGGCTTTGTGACTCCTTTTTGTTATGTTGTCCCTAGTTCTCTGTTGTCAAGAATTCCCGAACTGCTTTTTTGTTGCAAATGTATTTGCATCCATTCAGGAAAGGACCATCCTGTGCTGTGAGTCACACATGGCAGGAATAGGTATGCTACAAATAAGAGCTAGGAAAGACCTGCAAACCATTTACCTGGATAAATCCACCACACTGATTACCCAGGGTTCTGTGAAAGCTCATGGAGCCATTAAAGCTCTTTCTCTGAAATCTGGACTGTGCCTCTCCTGCCAGAGGCCTGACTTGGTAAGAAGATGCCAGCTCAGCCTTTAGCTGTAGCAGCCAGTGCTGCCTCCAGCACAGCCCACACCACAAGGAGAAATACAAGGTCCTGTGGAGCAAAGAGGAATCCACAACACATGGTACCTTTACCAAGATCCCTTGGTACTCTTCAAGGGCACACCAGCAAGAACAAGGAATGTGTGGCAGAACAATAAAAAGCAAGCTGAGTTTCACACATTTCTGGCTTTACAGTTCCTCACCAGGAGCAGTGAGGATTCTGATTTCATAGAATTATTAAGGTTAGAAGAGATCACTAAGATCATCTAGTCCAACCGTCAACCCATCACCACCATGCCCACTAATTTGATGGAAAGCAGATAAAGCAGATTCTAGTTGGTAAAGATAGAATTTAAAAAGCAAAGAATTTCTTTTCTCTTTTTTTTTTTTTCTTCTGAAACCTGAGACAGGCTTTAAAAACGCCTGGTTAGCTTTCTGCCCCATTTCCCATTTCTACACAGTTCTCCTTGCCTGGGTCCTGGCTGAAGATGGAAACAAATCACCTCATGAAAGGAAAGACAGGTTGCAGAAGATCTGTAGTCTGATCCGAAAGCTGAAGAACCCAGCTAAGCAAAAGCAGAACAACTAACAACTAGAAGAAAACTTGATCTGAAGCTTGTGGTAGTTTCTAAGGTAAAGAAAGCAGTGGGCTGCATTACTACAGAGGGCACATTCCCTACCAGCTCCCCATCTGCTCATACTGCAGATACAAGGACTATATGAAAGGTAGAGAATGGTATGGGAAACTGATAGCCTGAAATGAAGGTGACTAATTCAACACTGAATGAATCTTGGACAGATCACTGTCTTCACTGCCACATTTACTCATCTTTTTCATGGGGAGTCTAGCAAATCCATCTATCTTCAGAGGGCTGCAATGGTAAATACATGCAAAACGGTCAGGCTTTTCAATCCCATGATGACAGATGAGAGAGTAACTTTTTAAAACATTTACTTCCTATTAAGAGAGCTCTGTCTGTCCTACTGCCATGGAAGTACATTTCTCTGGCACCTACCATCATGCCCTGAAGTCCTTTCACTGAGGACAGACATCATTTCAGGGCTTTTTTTTTTTTTTTTTTTTTTTTTTTTTGCTAAAACTGGAAAATCTTTCCTATTTAGCATAACTTCTGAAAAGAAAATAATGTAGTTCACTAGAAAGTGGGAACCCACTCCCCCTGGGTGTTCTTCCTTCCGAGTATTTGCTCGTACTTCTGTGGTTGTTTTTGCTAACAGTGTCCTTTTCATCAGTGTTCTTCTCTGAAGAGACTCATTCATAATATTCTCATTTGGGTATATACACATTCGTTCCCTTGACACTCCAGCAATCCGCAGTTCCATTCATACCCCAACACACACATCAGAAGGCTGTTTAAAAAACCCCAGGAAGTTTGCTCAGACATGTGCTATTTTAAGAGACTTGGACTGGGTCTTGGAATTTTACAACATTTGGAGGATTTGGCAGTGTGACTGTTTCCACGCCAGGACACACGTGCAGTCTGAACATGTGCCATGCACTTTGAAGGAGAGGAATAAGCTACCTGCAAGCCAAGAGATGAAGAAGAAGGCCTATAAAATGCTTGAGAGCAGCTGTAGCAAAACATTTTGGGGAAGGCTGATCCAGTCATCCACCAACTCATCCCTGCAGAAGGAGAAGAGTCAGGCTGCAGCCAACTGCAAGGTGCACTGCCCTGTTGGTGCATCAGAGGACTGTCCTATTCGCATGGCAGCTCTATACAGTACGTAGATACTAAGCCTATTGACTCTTCCTCTGCATGACTCCACTATGCCAGTGTCTGTGACACAGATCTTCTAACACTAGAAGATACCCACTGCAGGTGGATTGCTCTTGATTTCCAGAGGAAGGGAGTATTCCTTGTACCTGTTCTCCCTGCTGGGAGCAAGCTTTTTATCAAGTAACTGGCCCATACTTCACATGCATGAGGTAAAACAAAAATCCACCAAAAACATTTTGCAGAAGCACCACAGTGGCTCTCCTTGCAAAGCCTCCCCCTCCCTTCTGCCATGCTACAGGTTCTGTTGCTTCTCAGACAACCTCAGAACATTGACTTTCTTAATTTAATAACACACTGCTCTCTGACCTTTGCTTTACTCCTTTACCTGAGACTGAAGGAAGAAGCTGAGAAAGAGTTTCTGTGGAGGAATCTGTACTTCGTGTATATAGGTAACTTTCAGTAACCCTTTGGTAGCCCTTACACTCAGGTTGAAATCCCCTCTGTATCCTGTTGACTGTATTTCATTGGCATTACAATACAGCACATCCTGTCTGAACCTATGAACCTTTGGCCAGACTCTCACCTTTATGGCTCCAATATACAAGCATTAATAACACTTGATGAGTTATCACAATGTGCCTAGAAGGACAAATCCCTCCTATTTGGCTCCCACTTGTTTTATTTCACTACTCTATATATTTTGGTCCAGTCATTGGATAGTAATCACAGTGGATATTGATTGCAGCTCACCTCCACGATATCCACTGGCTTTGAGGAGGATGGGAAGAACATCTTCAAACAACTTTTTCTCAGTACTAGACACTACTAGAAATAAAGCTGATCAGTAAGATGATCGATTAATGGGTGCTTTGGCTTTGATGAGTCATCTGTGATGAGAACAAGAGAAATATCTTGATGGTTGCAACCTAGATGAAATGGGAGGAAAAGTCATGGTAAAATGAAAACCAGAGACCATAAGAAAAAAAAAAAAAGAAATCTTCAGAATTGGAGAAAACTAGAGAAAAACAAAAAAATACAGAGAGAAATAAATGTGTTGGCAGTAACTTATTTGCTGTTGGGTTTGTGTGCTTTTTTTTTACATTTTTAGCAATCTAAGATCCAACACACTTTCATCAATAGAAAGCTACCCTGGGAGTTCCATTGATCTTCTAGTTTCAGGAAAAGCCATTTTTACTACATCTTGAGTAGATTAATCCCACAGCAAGATGTAAAGTAGTATATGCTTTGTTTTCTGAAATCTTTGCCCTTCTTGAGAAATTTAAAAATCACACTAGATCTTCGTGAGGACAACTAGATGATCTCAGCCTCAGTCCTGCTTGTTACTTACAATATCCAAAACTATCAGGATGACTCTCCTGCAGATGTGGCCTTAAGCTTTTTTTAAACATGTAGCTGTCAAAGGATTCCACATCTACAAGGAGAATTTATCAGAAAGAGTCCACCATGGTGACCCACTGCTCTCAAATCTCCCTCTCAAAAGAGATATCTCTGTCCCTTCCCCAGATAAGAATCACAGAAATCTGCCCTTCAATTCTCAGAAAATGGCGTTTATAGCATTGCGCTATCTAATGACTCAGGACCTCTTTGAGAAATACAAAGAGCTGCTACACCCAGGTTACAAGCATGACCCCTGGAGAGGGGGGTCCTGAATAAATGTGGGGAAAACAAAGATCCGAGGACTGCTCTTGATAAGCCACAGTCTGTGCATATTCCTTCTAACAACCACACAGCTCTAAGAGGAATTCATACAGTAACAGAAGATTATCCTTATGTATTTTAACTATTTCCCAGCTTTTCGATGCCTCTGGGAATTTCTTCAAAAGGTGCCTTAGCAAATAGTTCTGTCAGTATATCAGAGTATCAAGCACATGCGAAAATCAGCCACTCAGGAACCACTCTCAGCAGGAGCCACAAGCAACATCTGCCCTGATACATTACCTTTTCCATTTGCCTTCTGAAATTAGATGCGACTTCACAAAAGGGAGTGCACAGGTATGGCTGTCAGCTTCAGAGGCGTAAGACAGGAATGGCACTTTAATGACCCACTTAAAATAAATGAAACAGCCATTTATTCTGATTGGAGTAACACTAATTATATCAGAAAGTGTCACACTCGTAAATGGCAAAGAGCAAATGTTATCTAATGAAACTTAATGAATAGGTGAAGTATCCCGACAGACCATCATCACTCCTGCATTCTTGCAAACAGAAAAAATAGCCTGTAGGGAGCTGATCTGAAACTGGAGGTTTTAAAACTGAAGGTTAATTACAGTGGTTGAATATGTGCTTTATCTAAAAACGAGTTTGCATCATGAGCCTCAAGGGAATTTTTTCTTTTGAAGAAAACAAATATAGTTGTAAGGTGGCTGGGACATGGGGAACACCTGGTGTGGAAGGACCTGGGAGATAGAGGGGGGGGGACTCCCTTCATTTGTATGACAGAATCATAGACTTGTTAAGACCTCCAAGATTATCACAATCAACCATCAACCCATCCCCACTGACCACGTCCCTCCGTGCCACATCCCCGTGTTTCTCGAACCCCTCCAAGGGCAGTGACTCCAACACCTCCCTGGGCAGTCTGTGCCACTGCATCATGGCTCTTTCTGAGAAGAGATGTCTCCCAGTATCCAGCCTGAACCCCCCTTGGCACAACTTGAAGCCACTACCACTTGTCCTAAAGGAGAAGGTTCAAGAAGCTTCCACTTCACAAGAGTAAGTGTGATGCTAAAATGTCCTTGTTTTCTCCCAGACCAGTACCCAGCTAGTTCTGCTTCTGCTTCAGGGAAGGGGCATGAAACAAGGAGCTGTGAACAGGTCTGGGAGCACACACTGGAGCCCAGCACTCCTGGAGGAGACGATCATTATTGCAGTAGGAGTGCAGGAGTTCAGCAATCACATGGATAAGCTCACATTTTTATGAAAGCGAGTTGGGCTTTCTATGAGCTGTTCACTGACAGCCTCTCAACACCTATGAAGAGATGAAAACTTTTCCACCTATTTAAATCACTCTAATTAGGAATACCAGCGACAAAATCGAAACTTCTACCAGTGAAAAAAAATAAAACATCAAACCTTGCTCTTGTGAGTAAGGTACAATGTTAAAATTGGAAAACATTTACTTTCAAGGCTCAGTAGTCAGCCTTAAAATATTAGCAGAATTGGCTGCATGGAAGCCATGCAAACAGCTCTAGTTTTATATACTGAAGATGCCGAGTAAACACACAAGTCCTGACCAAACAAGTACTGCACTGACAGCTGGGCTTAAAAAAAAAGCTGTGAGGGATGTAATAAAACTCCATGCAAAATGTGTTCCCAGGAAAAAAAAACAACAAAACAAACCCCAACAACTCAGGATAAAAAGACATTCACAGCCTCTGAATGCTTGCTGAGATTAGACATAAAAGCCTCTTCAACTTATCTTGAGTTGTATTTTCCTCTTAATGTCAAAGGGTACCCTGCTGCACAGGGAGATGTTTATACCCTCATGGGAAGCCAGAGGCTTCAGATAAGTGAATGTATTTGGAGGAACAGAACTTTAAAGGCTTAGGAAGACAGCCTTTATTATCAGCCAGCCCTCTATTAGGTTGGTGAGATTCCTGTTTGATTTGGCCGCAGTCTCTAGCCTCAAGTTCCTGCCCTAGCTTTTAAAATAGAACAAGATCTCCCTGCAGCTGAAAAAGGGCAGAGGGTGGAACGTGTAAATAGCAATTAAAACAAAAAAACAACAACAACTTGTTTTAAAAAACCCTCCACTAAAAGATACTCTGTGCTCTTTCTTAGTGGCCAAGGTTGGCAGGCCGACAAAACCAAACATGCCGCACAGAACAGTTTAAGTTATATGCAACTTAACTTGCTATTTCAGACTGTGGATGGGAACACACTCTTGACATCACCCTTCCTTGCTCTTGTGGTAAGAGGCCACACAGCCCAAAAGACAGACCCCTGGATTGAGCCTTGGGAGTGAGGCTATCCTGGCTGCCTTGCCAACCTGCTGGGCTGTCTACGTTTGGGCATCTTTGTTGATTTACTTTTCTGAAGCGTTTTTGAGACCTATAAATAAGAAATGCTGGGCTAGGCATTATTATGTACTCTTGCTATCGATAGTTTTTGCTCCACATAGGTTGGTAAGACAAGATAGAAAAATAAAACATCCAAGTGAACTACACTTACATCAGGGAACAAGAATTCCTCATGTTCTTCCTTTCCACATCCTGATCACAGAGCAGCTCTGTCAGGCCCGTGCCATTCACTGCTCATGTCTTCTAACCTTACCTCATCTGTTTCTCAGTTTTCCACTGTACTGTTATAAATCACGACATTCTTGCCTCTCAGAGTTTCAATCAATATATAAAATGTCAGAGCAGATAACTGGTACTCTCTCAATGGACACTAATGTAATTTCATAATGTGATTTCATTTTTCAGAGAAAGGATCAGATGAGCTATTATTGGAACAGGAAGAACCAGGTAATCCATCAGGAACACTTAGAAGGCAAAATTCTTTAGTTTGGAGTACTGTATTTGGCTTTAGATTATACATGAATGACTTCTGTGACTTTCACTCCATTTGCACATGCTACAAAACGAAACTGTTTCCAATATCCAAACACAAATGCAATTGACCTAGAACAAAATGGATTCAGGATGGCTAAGTGCAAGTATCTGGAGAGAACAGTTAAGTCATGGAAGTGTTTCAGCATCTATTTATATAATACATATATTTATATAGCATCTTTTTATAAAGTATTAGTAGCATATGGAAGAAATCAGACTCAAACTCAGTGGTTTCTCTCTCACTTCCAAGCAATATCTGAAATAAAGATGAACCTGACTAATCTGTATCTTCAAGTATGACAACACTGGATAGAGATCTTGAAGACTGTAAGTGGCTGCAAGGTACAATGTACGAAATGTAAATAACTATACAATTTGGGAGAATAATTAAATAAATCATACTGGAAAACAGCAAACCGAACAAAATCCAAACTACTTACATCAATGAGATCAGTTTGAAGCTATTCTCAAATGGAAGACAAATCCAAAGATGCAGCCAAGACCAAGGTTAGTCCTGAGTCTGGTTCTGGAACCAGAACTTTGCTATGACAAGATGAGGTTCTGCTCACATCTCCACGTTTCCTCTCCATTTGTTTGTGGCCCATCTGTGTGATAAAATGGTGAGATTTTTGGTAGATTGCATTCAGTAATTAGTCCCTTTCATGAGCAGACTGGGACCATCTGGATGAACTATTGATAATCTGTGCTATATAACAGCCTGTAGTTTCTGAGAACTTTTTAAACTTTTCTCAGTACTCTGAATTTTCAGCATGGTCTTCCCACTGCTTAGTCTTGAGAGGTAAGGCACAGAGAAACTTAAAAGTACAAATTGCCGCAGAAGTGAAGGCCAGAATCATAGTCCTGTTTCTTGCCTTAGCCATCTCTTGGGCTATCTAAACACAAAGACTTCTGAAAGAATAATCCATTAGCTTACTTTTTGCTTAATTTAGTCATTGAAATCAGTTTTTGCCAAGGATTGGGTGGACACATCAAACACATCAGTGGGAAATCCAATTTTTTCTGATAGCATTTTCACTGTATGGACTTTGTGATCTGCCTCTTTATAACTTCTAAAAGCTTTTGCTCCACAGAAAAGAAGGTTGGGTTAGAAAAAATAAGTTATTTACTGCACAGTTTTTGCTAAGCAAAATAACACAAATTGTTTTTGTGTGAAAAATAGAAATCAGCAAAAAAGTAGAACCAAGCACTACTGGGATAGTCTAAGTTGAGATTAGAAAAGAAGGTAATTGCAAATAGAAATTCAAGAATACATCTGAATCTTGATGAGAATCTAAAATGGCAAAATAACTTCACTGCAACTGTGGGCAGACACTAATTTTAGTCAAATTAGCTGAAAAAGTCAGTGTAAAAGGTGACTTTACCTAGAAGTGACAGATAAACCAGATACCTTAGGCTCTGTCACACTGAGGCGACCATCAGTATGTGCCTTAAAGCAGTGAAGGTTATGTGGGCAATTTGACACAGGCATACCTGACATTCTTCCCAAATTGGAGTGAAAAGACCAGGCTGTGATTTATACAAAAGGAGACAAAGCTGCACAAAGGCCAGGGGAAGGAGAGAGATCAAAGTTCTTAGACAGAACAAGCTAACCTTTATCAGATTGAGGGGTTTTTCATTTCAGGAACCTGTAAAACATTAATTTCCAGCAAAAATCTGGTTGTGAGAATCATCTTCCTATGAAACAAAATATGCTTCAGTTTTCTCTTTTTTTTTTTTTTTTTTGTCTAGTTGGTATTTCTTAATCATTTTTTTCTCACACTTTTTCAGTGGTAAAATAGAGGAGGTTCAGGATGAGACAAAAAGAGAAAATGTCAAACAGCCACAAAGAAACCTTGACATCTTTGGTAAAAATGTTGGTGAAATATTTTGAATTAATTAATACAATGGTTATGCTGTTTGCAAAGGTCTTAAAAATTGTGTTTTCTGCTTTTCTCATATTGTTACTTACCTGCTTCATAAGCACTAAAATAACAGTGAGTGTTACAAAATGTTTCAAGATTTTCCCAACTGTATTTGAATATAATTATGGTCATAACAGTTTCAACAACAATCCGGAAGGTCTGAGTTTCTGAACCTGGCCATCATTCAGCCATCAGTTTGAAGACCAAATGGGTAAGAAGACTGTTAGTTTCTTTCTCCAGCTTCTCTCTTTAAGGACATTTACAGGAGCACAGGACTTACTGTGCCGCTTACTCTGACCCTCTGTCCCACGCTGAATGGCAAGCAGAACAAAACCAGCACTTGCTACTGCTAGTCTATGGCTAGTTACAGCTAAAGATGGTAATTTATAGGTCTGATTAATAGAGATTCTTTCTTTAAAAGGCTAAATGTAATATATTTGTTCTTTCTTTAAAAGTTTGCCAGTTCAGCCACTGATCTTAGATTTTCACTTAAGGCTCAGGCCCCTCGAATATCAAGATTCCTGACAGCACCATGTGCATTCCAGAACTCTGACTCCACTAATTCTCTCCAGGCTGGTGGAAAGACAAAGTAGAAGAGCAGTCAGTCAGAAAGACACATTTATTTTCATCTTTCATGTAGCTGATATCTGAGAAGAACATCTCAGTGAGGCCCTACGGGCAACAAGGATTTTGATTTACTCCAGAAACTGTTTTCATAGACATGTTGCTTTCTTGGCAAAATTTATAAGAAATTCTTGAACTATAAAGTCTTGGGGAAGGTTTTGACTTCCTGCCTCACTTGAACAAATACTATTTGCACTGTATTTAATATAACCCCCTACAGCAACAGCTCTTATAATTTCCCAATGAAATGTCAGTACGCTTCATGTTTAAAAACTTCACTGTTCATACTATCTATACTTGTCATGCAAACACAATACTGAATAATTTTTTCAAATCTTCAGGACCAACAGGAAAAGGAAACAAGGGCAGGAAAAACCTGCAATCACTGTTACACACTGCCTGTAACATCAGGCACACTGCATCAGTGCACCATTTTCCTTCTTCATTTCTCTCCAGCTCAGATATCCTCCAGCAGAACCAGCTCAGAGAACAAAAGCTGGATTATATATTTGTATGAATAATATCTAATATTTCACCAGCTAATGAAAAATGATCAAAGATACCAGCTGTTGTACTTCAAGAGGATAAACTGATTGTCAGCTGAGATCAAGAAAAAATAGCTTCCCCACCCTCATCCCTCAACACTTCAGCATAATTACAACGGAAACACAATGAGGATTTAAACCTTTTTTGAGGCAGCCACAACTGGGTGCACTGGAAAGACAAAATTCCTATAGCAAAATTCCTATAGCAGTACAAAGAGTAGAGAGAGCAGCAATCCGTATCAAGGTAAAAAAAAAAAAAAAAAGTTGGCTTTCCTCTTTAAATGCTGGCAGATGAACCACATATGGCTGTTTTCTACAATTCATGTCAATGCATTAATGACTGCCCATTAAGGTACTAGTTGCTTCCCAGCATACTGTGCATCCACCAAGGCCCCATAATACAGTTCCAGTCATTTTCTGCACACAATGTTTAATTCTGACTCTTCTAATGGCATGTCCTGCAAGGTCAAACTGACACTGCTAACTCAACTCCAAAGCATTAAAGTCTAGTACTCAACAAGACAGTAATACTCATTCAGAGACACATACATGACTCAGGCTCAGCTCATCTGCCTCTATGTACATCCTTTTTATTCCTGTTCAATCAGTATTAAAAAACCTCGGAGTAGCAAGTTTGGTCTTTGCTTTATTTACCAGTCAAAAGAAAGATTTATTCATCTGCCACTAATGTAGATTTAACCCATCATCTGAGAATTGGACTTATCTTTCTATTCCACACAATTGTTAATATGAATAGTCATGAAAATAGTGAAGATGTAAATTATGAGACTGTGCCTTCTCCTGGAGCTGTGTAAATTCTGAATCAGGAGTAGTTAACATGTACCTTAATTACCTGGCTCTCTTTACTGCTTGTATCTATGCCTCTCTGGGTAATACTCTTGCCTTCCAGAGCTGATCTTATATTTACGTGTAAAATCTGGAACACACACAAAGAGCTGTAGAAGCAATGCAGAACTAAAAAAGCTGGAGAGCAAATCTATCTGCCTTATTTTGCACTTTCTTTTACTGTTGTCCTATCCAAAAGATTGCAGAAACTAAGCAGATACCATGTTATGCCTGGCAGCCTTCCCTTCTAGGGATCAACATTCTTCTGTGCCTGGGGTAAACATGTTAGTAGAGGAAGGACAAGTGGGAGATTTAGAGGTATGAGAATGAAGTTCACAATTTAAGTACCCAAGTATGAAATGGCTTTCTAGGAAAGCTCTGAAATGTATCCACAGAGTATTCTGATTCTGGATTCATCTGATAACTTCTAAGAGGTTTTCCTTATCAGTCATCAAGAGAATGGGTACGCTGAGGCTGCACGTTTGGCATGGTCCTAGAAGTGTGCAGCAGCTACAGCCAAACACAGATTAATATTCAACTTCTATTGTTGCTGAAGCTTGATCTATTTATTGATTTTAAAACTAGATCAGTATACCTTGAATTGGTATTGAAGAGGCAGAGAGCAGGCTTTAGGTTCCCACAATGGACTGAAGCCTGGAGAAGAGGAGCAAGCAGCCACATGCTGCCCCACTGACATCTGTGCATCTGCCTGAAATCCAGGTATAACAAAGAAAGGCAGCCCCTCTGGAGGTAATGAATGACTTGGCATACTGCAGACAGATCTGTATATGGGAAGAAAGGCCAAACTTTCATAGAAAGCTGGAAGTAAAAGATGACACTTTTAGAAACTAATGTAAACCTGAGCTTCCTTAAGTAAAGTATGCTGATGCATACTTGAAGCTTGAACTGCATAAACACTAGAAGGAAATACCATAAGAACAGGATTTTTTTTTTTTAACAGCCTCACCTTTTGACCATATCTAACCTCTTAAAAAAGCCAATTTTCTGCTTGCTTACTTATTCTGTATTTTTACACACACTTTTAAATCTATACATATGGAGCTAAAACTTCTCAAGAATTGCTTCCCACTGGAAATTACTCAGTTTTCTTCATTCTTGTTTACAAGAAAGGATAGCTTCTATATTTACATACTAGAAGACTCTGAATTGGAAACATTGTGCATTTTAGCACACAATATTCAAAATTTCTTGATTAATACAAATAGTGCACACAAACAAGCATTACCAGGTGCCCTGGGTGAGTGCTGTCTGCTGCCATAGACTAAACTCCTCACCTTTTCCTGTTAAAACCTATGCAAACAAACAAATGGGAACAATAGATTAGCCAACTGAATTAGACATTCCCAACCCAGCACACTGCTGCAACATGTACTGAGTTTAAAGCATCAGCATAGGGAAGATGAGAGAAGAGCTGGGCTAAAAGCACAGGGAGTACTGTAAGCAGTGATAAGCTATCACAAAATTGGTGATGAGTTATCAAGAAGAGAGGGTTCTCTGTCCTTAAAAGACAATTACTGCATAATATTGTATAAAATGGCCTCAAACACAATGCAAATTGACTTTGATGTCTTGTGGTGGCAAGGAGAAACAGACTGAGTATCACAGGATGTCAGTCCATTCCTTTGCCTGGTCAAGTA